GCACTCGCAGCGGGAGCCCAAGTCATGGCACGGGCCCTCGCCCATCACCCTGCATCAGGTTTGCATTGTGCTCGAGCTCGTGCATAATGTTTACGGCTACCAGGTCCCCCCTGGTTTGCTGGCACCAGCCCCCCGCAGCAGCGTCCCAGCAAAGTCTGGGGGGATGGCTCACACCGGCTCCGAGGAGCATCCCAGTGTGAGGACACTTCTCCGGGCCACTGCGTCCCCAGCTTGGGCTGGCTGGGACAGGTCCTGCTTGTCATGCTGTCCTGCAAACAAGGGTCGGTGTGCCACAGGAAGGCAGGCTTGTCCCGACACGCGTGGCCGGGTGTCCCAGTTGGACCAGAGCAGCAGGTCGGGATGCACCGGGCAGCCAGACACTGCTCCATCGCAGGCATCACTGGTTTTTCACTTAACAGCCAAGAATAACCCCAAAACTGCGGGCGATTAAGCCCCTGAACGCACACATTGGGCACGTGAGCAGAGGCAGTGCAGGATGTTTTTCGGCACCTTTATTCGGCACGCGAATACCTGCGAGGTGCAGAGGAGGAGCTGGGCACAGCCTTGCCTGGGCGCCTGCTGAATCACTGCTGCGTGGGCAGGGGGGTGAGGACAGGTCCCTCCGACCCAGGCCTGTCGCATCGCCCCGGCAGTGTAATTCCCCTCTTGCAAAGAGTACAGAGGTTTTTAGGGCTTGCCCTGTTGACCTTCGCACCCCACATCTCACCCAGCGAGATGCTGTCTCTGGAGAAATCACGCTATAGCATCACTATAGGAGAGGACCGAGGGGCCACTGGCCCAAGGAGCATCATTTTGGCTTCATGGCCACACTGGCTACCTGAAGACGCGTGGCTTCACCCCAAGCTGGGAGACCTGGTGCAGTGAGGGGTCTCCTGCCGGTCACTTCTGTTCCCCTGTCCCTAGAATAGTTACCTCCTCCTTACACCACGCTGCAGACCTGTGGGTGAAGCTGGCAAAGGAGAAATAACATAATTTAAAGGCTAATTATCATTAATCTGTTGCCAAAGGAAGCTTAGAAGTGTGAGCCAATTACATGTGCTAATGTGCTTTGGGTAACGAGCGGCCGAAGGGTGTAATTAGAGCCCGTCTGCCGCATGGACACTTTGGATGAGTATTTCTGGCCGAGGCCGGTCTCATCGGCCGCATCTGCTGGTGTCAGTAACGGTGGGAACACGCGGTCGAAGGCGGGTCGGGGCAGCAGAGGAGAGGGTGCGAGCCCTGCCAACGCTGCCTGGAGAGATTCACCAAAGGGAAGAGGAAAAAAAAAAATCAATTTTTTGTGGTAAAATGAGCAGGACTTGGCAGTTGTGGTATCAGCTCTGGAGGTGGGGTCGTTACACAAGAGCAGTACTTGCTCCTCCTATTTCAGCATGATAAAGAAGGGGGCTTGATGCCTCTGTAGGTCCTGGCAGCCCCAGGTCAGACAGACAGACAGTGCTTGGACTGATGCTCCTCTGCCGGGGAGGCATCCCTGGACCAGCCGCCCTGATGCCCATCGTCAGGCGGTCACGCTTGTGGCTCCGGGTGCTTTGGCCTGTCCTGGCCAAGAGAAACCCCCGGGAGGCAGAGGGAAGGGGAGGGTGGCTGGGCTCTGACCACCAGCCAGCTTCGCTTCAGGCTGCGGACAGTGTCCACCACCCTCCGTCTGTCTCCCATGGCCCTTCCCGTCTCAAATCCAGGCTAACGCAGTCCTGGGCTCATCTCTCTCTGTCACGGGGGTAAACTCCGGGTTTTTCCCGCCAGCCCAGACCCACGCAGGAGCTGCTGCTAGAAGTGAATGTTCTGCCAGAAGTCAAGGGAAGAGTTAAGCCCCGTCGCATGACTGTGATTTTCAGTGCAAGTTCCTCTTCCTGTTTCAGGAATTGGGGAAAAAAAATTGCACCATTTGGTAAAACCCCGGCTGATCATCGGCACTGGGGCTCGGCCCTTTGGGGTGGTGGGTGCATGAACCCGCTGAAGATGCGGGCACCCCAGACCCCGTCTGCCCCATCACCCCAAGACAGTTCCTAGCTCTGCCCTTTCCTTGGCCTCTCTTCCAGATGTCCTTCTACTTCTCAGACACGGCAGTGCTGCTCTTTGACTTCTGGAGCATCCACACCCCCACAGGTATGCTGCAGCCCAGCCCCAAGACACCCATCTGTCCGTCTGTCCACCACTGTGCTCTCTGCCCGGGGGAAAGGATGCGGGGCAGAGAAACGAAGGGTGGCTTTGCATTTCTGGCAGGAGCAGTGGGAGCCATGGGCAGGGGGAGAGCAGGGCACTTACTGCGGGGGGGGTCAGAGCAGAGCCACGATGGGCTCCACACACCACTCGCCCCCAAGCCCGGGGGGCACTGCGCATTTTTGGCTGACCCTCTCCCACCCTGATGAGCAGTGCCGTGCCCCGGTAACACCCCAGGCAGGGGTCGATCCTCCCAAGCCGAGAGCAGGGAGCTGCAGGAAGCATCTCCCCCTGCCAGGCTTGCCAGTCCCCCCAGGTCACTCAGTGATGGCTCAGCTTCCCATTTTATTTACACTCTTTTTTTTTTTTTTTTTTTTTTTTTTTAAAATTATCGTCCCAGCATCATCTTTTATTCTCCACATTTTTGTGGAGTTGATGCAAAAATGTTTATTTTTTTCAGAGCAACCCCCTCCAAAAAATATTCCACAGGAATTTAGGGGGGGATCAGGCTCAATACACCACTTCCCAACGCTTCACAAACCCACTGGCTTTCACTCCAGCCCAACCCCGATCCCAGGAGCCCTCTGTTCCCTCCACCTTACCCCATGGATATGCCCAAGCGCTCCATGCCGGGACATGCCACCCCGCCCCCGTCGATGCTTTACGAAGCCGTCAAGATGGGCAAGGCCGTGCTGCTGTGGCGGGCGCTGCTGGCTCTGCCCCGCAGCCTCAGCCGGGAGGTGCTGGCGGAGCCGGAGGAGGGGGGCACCGGCCCTGCGCAGGGCAGGTACCGCAGGGCCCCCTTCGTGGGGGGCTCGGGGACGGGGTGTATGGCCCCCAGGGCCAGCGCAGGAGGGGAGAAAGGCTGTAAAGAGGCAGACATGGAGTGATAGGCTCCCAGGAAAGGGGTATGTGTGGCCCTGGCGGCATCCCGGTTCCTCCAGGTACTTTGGGAGACATCCAGGGTGTTTTTTAGCTGTCTTGGATGCTCCCATTCCCCCAGGAGCCACCGTGGGTGCAGGAGGGTCCTCATGGATGGGCACAAGCAGCAGCTCAGGCACCCCGGCAAGGCTGGCTGGGAGGTTTCCTTCCCAGCACAAGCCAAGCCCTGGGTTTTTCCTCTTGTATTTAATCCCAGACCATGCCTGAGGCTGCTCTTATTGCCAGGCTCTTAATAATATCCTTCCCGTTCCTTTGGAGCGTGATTTCCCCCCGCTCTGCTGTTTGCAGCCCCTGTTCTCCCCAAACCCACTCTGGCCGCTCCGGGATGCTCGCGGAGGGTGGCAGATGCCGGCTGCCCCAGCCCCTCACTGATGGGGTTTCCCATCTTGTTCCACAGGTGGTTTCGGTACCATGTCGGCCAGACCTTGTTCCATGTGGTGCAGGTGGTGCTGGGCTACATGGTGATGCTGGCCGTCATGTCCTACAATGCCTGGATCTTCCTTGGGGCCATGGCAGGCTCCACGCTGGGCTATTTCGTGGTGTACCCCCTGCTTGGTCGGGGCTAGCCCCCCCTGCGGGACGGTGGGCAATGTGCTCCACACCTCCTGCTACTTTGTCCGGAATAGCTGCTGTCACTTCTGCTGGGTCTGTCCTTGTCCCCGTGCTAGGTGGGATGCAGCACGCCAGGGACTTGCTGCGGGGACCCTCAGTGCTGGGGTAGCATCCGGTTCATGAGGGAGGTGCTGGGGAAGGGGAGCGCTGTGGCCAGCATTTTGCCACGCTGCCAACCGCCGGGTGATGACAGCAGGGGGCAGGGATGTTGCTGGATGTTTTCTTCCCCTCCAGCTTTTCAGCGGGGCTCATCCTGGCTGGAATGGGAATGCTCCAGTGCCCTGCTGGGGACAGGCACCCCTGCCCAGCACTGCCCTGCACCAAGCCCCTCTTCACAAAGTGCCTTCTGGGGACAATGGGCGTCCTGCTGTCCCCCCACCATGCAGTGCTTCAGGGATGGGGTCAGAGTGGCCCCTGAGCCATCAGCGTGGCTGTGCCGAGGGGAAGCTGCTGCTGTGGGTGCCTCTTGCTGCTTCCTCGGGACACCCCTTTTAATAAAAACCACCTCAGTTGTTCGGCTCCTGGCTTGTGTGGCTGCTGGGTGGTCGCCGGGTGACATGTCCTGGGGACAGTGGGAGCAGGGATCCCCAGCCCTACCCCGGGGAGCCAGGCCAGGAATAAGGACAGTCTCCTCTGGCTTTAAATAAAGCTTTTCCATTTTATTAATATAAGCATATTTTTAAACATTTGTATAACTTTCTTAATAAAATATCCTGGAAGAGACAGGTTTTAAGTTCCCAAAGCAAGGCACTTTGGGGGGCCTCCCCGAGTGGGTTAGGCTGGGCACCCCCCTTCAGAGGCAAGAAACAGCGGCACCTAAAATGCAGGCGAGTGTGGGGGTGCTGGTCCCCACTCCATGCACATACGCTCATGTCTCACACTCACCAGTCCTGCCAACCCCCACCAGCTCTCAGCATCCCTGCCTGGGGGCTGCACTGGTCCCGTCCCTGTCCCCCTGGCAGGCAGGGCTGCTGGGGGAGCCAGCAAACTGCTGCTAAGGCACCAGCGCTTCGCTCAACTGTGACTGCAGGTGCCAAAACCTGCAAAGCCTGAGATATCTGTGCACGGTGCTGGGAAGCTCCAGAAGGCCAGTGCTGGGATCCCTCTACTGGAGGGTGAGCCTGAGCCTGGAGGCAGCCCAGTCCTGCCGGGCAAAGCTGGAGACATCATGTGAGTGCCGTCTTCCCCTCTTAAGTAAGTTTTTTATTTTTAAACTTAAATAGCTGCTAGAATACCCCAGGGGGAGGGTGGCCAGGGACCAGCGCTGCATGCCATGAGCCCAGCCTGGGTGCCATGAGCACAGCCCAGGTGCCATTAGCCCAGCCCGACTGCTATGAGCCCAGCCTGGGTGCCATGAGCCTAGCCCAGGTGCCGTTAGCCCAGCCTGGCTGCTGTGAGCCCACACCTGTCCCAGCTCTTGCCCCATCGGCAGGGGTTCGAGCCAGCCGGTATTGCTGTAGCCCTGCCATGCCCACGGCTGCCGCCATGTTTTTCCATCATCCCCTGTGCACCCTGCTCCCACTGGCACTCCTGGAGCCGGCTGGGTGGAATGCGATGGGCAGGCTCCTAGGAAACCCCCTGGGCTGAGGCAGGGGACTTCCCCTGGGGCAGCCAGAAGCCTCCTGTGCACCCATCCACAGCAGGGCTTGTGCCAGCCCCCCAGCACCCCCGGCAGTTGTTCTGGGGGTGGGGGGGCAGGTAAAGCATCTCTTCAGTAGAAAAGAAGACAATAAGGCAGAAGTAGGACAGAGCAGAGCACAGGGGGTGCCCCAGGCTGGGGCCTCCCCCGGTCTGACCCAGTTAAGACCAAGTTGGCTGTCCCTCTCCCACGGCACTGCTCTCCATCCTGGCAGCGCAGCGGGTCCTATTCCCCCTACCCCAACCCCCGGTGCCACTGGGGCCAGTCCATGGCCGGGGGAGGGGGGACAGCCCGGGGCTAGAACTCAGTCTGCAACCCCTCGCCACTCTCCGTTGTGCCTGCAGGCTGTGGGGGGCTGCACTGGCTGCCCAGGGGGGCCACCTCCTCGCCTGTCTCCTTGTCACTGGGCTGGTGGCAAGCCACCGCAGCAGACGGTGATGGGGGCTCAGCTCTGGGTGCGGGTGATGCTGGTGTGGCGTGGGGCACACTGGCCTCCAATGGGACTGGGATATCGGCTCTTGATTTGGGTGATGCTGGTGTGGTGTGTTGCACACTGGCCCCTGATGGGACATCGGCTCTGGGCACAGGTGATGCTGGCATGGGAGATGCTGGTGAGGCATGTTGCACCCCTGCAGCCCCTGATGGGACTTCAGCTCCAGGCGCAGGTGATACTGGTGCACCTTGGTGCACCCCGTCCCCCTCACTGGCTGGACCTTGCTGGGGGACATCACCTGGGACAGACCCTGCCACCACCACCACCTCCTCGGTGGCACCGCTCTCCTGTGTGGCATCAGTACCATTTGTCAGCTGCTCCTCCACCTCAACGCTCTCCTTCGCCAGCGCCTCCCGGATCTCCTCCACCCCAACCGGGGAGCTCGGTGGTGGCCCAGGGTCCAGCTCCTCCTGCTCCTGTGGCTCTGGGGAGCTGGGCTGCAGCAACCCCTTGGCGCTCAGCTCATAGGGCAGAGCACCCTCATCGTCTTGGATCACCGACACCACTTGCTTGGCCCTGCGGCGCTTGTCAGCGGCCAGCTCGGCCTCGGGCTGCCCGCTGTACTCCTCACCCCAGTCGATGGGGATGCCCTCGCCCAGGAGGTGCAGGTTGGGATCGCTGTTGTGCATGACCATGCTGTCACGGTACAGGTTGTGCTTCCGCTGCACGGCCGCCTCCTTCACAGCTGGGAGCACCGAGAGAGATGTCAGATGGGCTGCACGCACAGGACAGCGCCCGCCAGGCTTGGCCACCTCTCCCAGCCTCCCCCTTGGGTGTAGGGTGCAGGGAGAGATGTCCGGTGCTGGGCAGAGGGCTCAGCATCCCACCCACCGCTCAGCCCTGCCAGCGGGAAGGCCAGGTGGGAAAACTGCTCCTGGTACAGCCTCAGCACCCTGCTCGGGGTCACCCCCTCCTCATACAGCCCCAGCACCCTGCTCAGGGTCATCCCCTCCTCATACAGCCCCCAGCACCCTGCTCGGGGTCACCCCCTCCTCCTACAGCCCCCAGCACCCTGCTCGGGGTCACCCCCTCCTCCTACAGCCCCCAGCACCCTGTTCAGGATCACCCCTCCTTGTACAGCCCCCAGCAACCTGCTCAGGGTTGCACCCTGCTCAGGGTCACCCCCTGCTCCTACGGTCCCCAGCATGGGCCCTCTGGGTGCTGCTTAGCCCAGGCTGGGCTTACGCCCACCCCACCCACTGCAGGGTGCTGGACCCCCCGGGGGCTCAGAGCTGAGCGGGTCCAGGTCCCCTGGTGCCGCAGGGCCCTACCTTGCATGATGTCTTTCATCACTGACTGTAGCACAACCTCCTCGTAAGTGTTCTCCACCAGGATGAAGCTGGCAAAGTCCTCAAAGATCAGCTCCTGAAACTTGGCTAACTCCTGCCACAGGGGAGAGGGCGCTCAGCCCAGGGGGATGGGAGGGAGGGCCTCTCCCCCTGCCCCCCGCCAAGCTTCAGCCTCTTCCCCCAAAGATCTGCAGCAGGGCCTCCCTGAAGAACTTCTTCCGCACTGTGCTGCTGTCATAGTCATATTTCTGCAGGGTGAGCAAGAAGGGTCAATGCGGGCTGGCAGCTCCTCTGCACATGAGCACAAACCCCTGCCGTTTGGTTCCCCCCCCAACCCATTTGCACAGGCGTGAGCAGGTTCCTCTGCCCCTCGCACCCTTCTCCCAGCTGGTTCCTGGGGTGCCTGAGCCTGGTAGGAGCCAGCTCCTCCATTGCTGTCTACAGAAGGGGTTTTTGGGGCCAGTCAGAACCCCGGGTGGCTTTTACAGCGACGCATGTGGTCAGAGGGGCCCTGGCTCCTCCAGGTGATTTCCCACTCGCCTGCCCCACATCCCAGCAAGATGCATGAAAAGTCTCAATATAAAGAAGCATTTCCCCAGAAGACTTTTGTTAAAATTGGTAAGGTCACTCCTGGCCTCTTCCCCAGGCTGCCAACCCTTGGAACAAGGCCACTGAAGGTCACCGAAGGCCCCGACCCCCCCACCTCTCACCTTGAGCACCCTCTCGAGGATGCGCTGGATGGACTTGCACAAATCGTCTTTGCCCTGCAGCTTCCCCAGCTCCTGATGGAGCAGCGTCTCGAACGTGTACACGGCGTCGTCCATTTGCTGTGAGTGGAGGCAGACGATCAGCACCGGGGTGGGGGCACCCGAAGGGACCAGCCATGGGGGTGGGCAGGACGCTCTTGTGGGGCACTGCCACACCACGATGAACCTTCACACTGGCAAGGTCCCCACCATTCCCACATGGCATCCACAGACTCCACCCTGAGGACCAAGGGTGCTGGGGGAGGAGGGTGCCCCAAACTGCTTTGCACCCTCCCCTTCTACACCTCACTCTGGGTTTGGCTGGATCAGACCCCAGACCTGGGTTACTGGCTTTGCTGGTGCCAGTGGGCTCAGTGGCAAAGGGGCAGCTGTGCCATGGGTGCTGAGCCCACATTGGAAGGGTGCCCCACGCTGCTGCCCACCCATGGGCTCCCTCCCTGCTGGGGCTCCAGACCCATGGTCAGATCCGTCACACACCTTTAGCTGGGTGCCAGCGGCATGATGGTCCCTGAGCCAGGACAGACATCCTGGCCAAATCCCTGCCAGGGCTGGACCCACCTAGGTTCCCCGCTCTGCCTCTGCTCCCCAGCCCTCTGTGCTCAGCCCGGGGGGACACAAGCGGACCCCGGTCCCATCCCACCTGTCTCATGTGGATCTGGGCCCTCTGCTTGAAGACGGACGTGCTGGAGACATCGAATCGCTGCTGAAGGCCCTCCAGTTTCAGCTGGTCCATCTTCTCGTAGCATGATTGCATCTTGACGGGGTGGAAGGCCAGGTGGGAAAGCTTCTCCATGTACTGGGGATAAAGCCAAGCTCAGCAAGGCAGGACTCTCTGCACCCTTGGGGCTGGGACATGCCACCCCACACCAGGCACAGCAGCCTGCACCAACACATGGGCCTCATCCCCATGTATTTTCTCAGCCCAGGGTCCGCCAGTGCCATCGGCACCAGGGATGGCAGCAGGACT